TGCCTTCTGGGTCTGACCAGGGTTTCTCCCCTTTTCCTCTCCCCCTTGCAGCCTTGGGTATTTAAGGCCTAGGAAATTCTGATTCAGAGGATGTACCCCTCACTCCCATGCTCCATAGCTACTGATGCACCTTTTCTCTAAGAGTGGCCACGTCTACATGTCCACTTTAATGTGCATTAGTCTATTTTAATGCACATTACAGCATCACAGAAAAGTGCTCTTTAGCTAAACAGCTTATTTTATTATATTAAATTATGCTATTGTGCCTTTTTCTAGTACCTCGCCATGGAGGTACTAGATTCAATGCACATTACCTAAAGCACATTAATGAATGTGTAAGCATGCCCAATGTGTCCAGTCCCTTTTTTCATTCTGGCTAAACTGTCACCTTCCACCACATCCTGTGGCAAAGAGTTCCACACTTCCATTCCATGCTATTAGAAAGGAACTTCCTTTTGTTAGTTTTAAACTTCCTACCTATTAGTTTCATGTTTTGACTCCTAATCTTGGAGTGTGAGAGATAGTAAATAATGACTCCCTATTCACTTTTTCTTCATCATTTAGTATTTTATAAAACCTTATCACACCCCCTCTTCAAACATCTGTTTTCTAAACAGAATAGACCCAGCCTCATCAGCCTCTCCTCATATGAAAGCCCCTCCATAACACACATCACCCTTGTTGACCGTCTCTGTACCTTCTCTAGGTCTTCTATACTGGTTTTGAGTGTGGGTCAAGAACTGGACATGGTAATCAAGGTGTGGACACACCATGGATTTTTAAAGGGGAATCATGACACTTTCCATTTTGTTCATAATTCCTTTCTTAATAATTCCTAACATTTTGGATGGCTGCTGAGCACTGAGCTAATATTTTTAGCAGACTGTCCATGATGACTCCCAGGTCTCTTCCCTGTGTCCTCAAGACATGATATAATCACATACCATTCTTACAGGGATTACTATTTAGTCATCCTGTGGTGCTCAGTCAGAGGCCCCAAATAATACATGTAACCAGAATGTTCATGAATTGTTTGCCATTTGGTATTCTGTTATCTCTTTACCAAGCTATACGTAATAGCTCTCTTTAAATGCATGATAAATTAGGCCTAAACTGTGGCTAGACAGAAGTTGGCAAACTTAATCCTATCATATCTCCAGTAGTTTGGAAGGACTCTGCAGTGTGTCTGTTTATCCTGAGCCCACACAATATCTTCCTCTCTTCCTTCAGTTCTGCTCAGCGTGGGGATAGGAATCCATTTTTCCTTTCTTGTCCACTCCCATGTTCCAGTCCCTGCTTATTATCCCACCCATCTGTCTCCCTCAATCTTGCACCATTTTCCTGCCCTCAAGAAACTATCACTTAGACTCTCCATCTCCTCTGGCTGTCCCTTGACTTTCCCCTTCCCCTTCACCTCCAGTCTTCTGGACCATGCTATCTACTACCTCCCTCTCTTCTTGGTCAGTTGACGCATCACCTTTGTTCTTCCTTCTGTCTCTCCCTAAGTCTGTTCTTCAGGGGTCTGCCATGGACCCAGCTTTATTACCACTACACTCATCCAAGGACCTTTGGTACAATTTGACAACTCAGTTGAGCCTGGTTCTCTTCCTTATAGGCTTAGAAGGGACCTCTGAGGACCATCTAGTCCATTCCCTGCTATTTGTGCACCCAGGACTAGTGCAGAAGAGGAGATATGGGGAAATATAAAGAGAAACCAAAAGGAAGGAAGCCAGTAGGATAGGAGGGAGAATGACTTTAGTTAGACTTCAGAGATCTAGGGTGGTGAAGCCCTGGAACAGGTTATCCAGAGAGGTGGTGGAGTCTCCATCCTTGGAGGTATTTAAGGCCCGGCTCAACAAAGGCTTGGCTGGGATGATGTAGCTGGGGCCGGTCCTTTTTTGAGCAGGGGGTTGTACTAGATGTGACCTCCTGAGGTCCCTTCCAACCCTCATTTTGTATGACTTATGGTCTTCCATAAGATTCCCCTCTGCTTGGGTAGGGGCTCAAGATTTAAAACAATGAGCCCATCAGGAGAAAGGTTTTCTGTAGGGCTTCCCAGAGATAATGTTCTTGCTGTCCATAGTGATGACCTGTCTTTGAGAGCTTTGAACTTGTTCAAATAAAGGCAAACATGAAGACTTACATCATCATCATCATCATCATCATCATAAAGAGAGTTGTCTGCAAAGCACATCTCCAGCCTATAGGGATCGTGGCAAAACCATGCATGGAACAAAAAGCAACCGTGAACAGAGCTCCTAAACTCTGTGAACTTTCACATCTTGCCAGATGAAGCTGGTGATTTTTTTTTTCTCACTTGGTCCTGCGAGCAATAAGTGCTTCACATGCATCTCCTAAGACGGAGCTGGCAAAACATACACCAGAGAGGGGCACGGTAGAGGGGTTTGAAGGTGCAAGGGCAGGCTGTAACGGGTTGCAGAGAATGTCTGCCTTGGAAATAGCATTCAGCTAAGGAGAAAGACCTTGTATTGCTTCTCAGTACAAGGGAATGGGCTTTTCCACGCTTCATTAAGCAGAACTTCCTGAGCTCAAAGGACTAGTTTGGCCTTCAAAAACTCTGATTGTTCCCAGGACCTAAGGAAATCAGATTTGCCCCAAGCCCTTTTCACTCGAGGCGTGCCCTGGTGTGAGGGAAATGCAGATCAAACTGTGCAGGTGTCAAAGGTCATAATTTTGGCATTGAAGTCGCGGCAGAGCTGTGCTGACCCAAACCCCTTTCTTTGTATCTTCCTACTTCCCTGAGCAATGTTAACTCAGCCATCAGGTAGGGACAGGAGCTGTCATATTCCTGACTTTTCCTTCTGAAAAGTGCCTCTTCTGCCCTTGATTTTGGACCTTAGTCCACAAAACAATGTACTGCTCACAAAGTCCTACCTCACAAGAGAAAAAGCATCCCATACACCCAAGAAATAGGGGAGATGCAGATTACCAGGGACTAGGATCACCCTGTTTAAGAATGAACAGGACAGGCTCTGCCATTGAGGCCTAAGGACTGGTTAGCACTGCCTATCACTGACTGGATGATGGGATCAGAGCTGCCTTGCCTGCACTCGGATGAGAGGGCCCTGCTGAAATCCCCGGCTTCCTTTCTTCTCTGGGGAAGCCTGCTCTGTTGCAGACCCTGCTATGACAATGCCTACCCTGGCATCCTCTGCTTGTGCCCTGTGAACAGCGCATCCTGGAGCAGTTAGTTCATTTTCAATCAGAATTCATGGTAAAGGTGACATCTTTTATTAAATAGTTGCAAAAAAAAATTCTTTATTCTCAAGCTTTTGGGCACACGCTCTTCCTCAGGCATAGGAGAGTGCAAAGATTGTAAAATTTATCCCAGGTACTCCCTGGCAGCTGCAGTGGTCTTTGATTCGGGCAGGTTGAAAGAGTCCAAACCTTTTGAAGAGGTGGTAAGCAGCTGGCCTCAGGTGGCTGGAGCCAGGGGCCCACCAGGCCAAATGGAGAGTGATCAGAGCTACATGCTAACCTATTACCCGGGAAAGCGATGTGTGCTTTGCCATAGCGTACAAGGGACTGGGTGGGGAAAGAGCCCACGTTCCACCCAGTTCTGGTTGTTCAGCCATTATTAATGTAACTGCACCAAAGAACCAAGCCAATTAATGCCATTCCTTTTTTGTCTTGTTTTATTTTTTAAGGAAGCTTGAATGTTTACCTGCGGCTAAAGGGTCAGACGACAATAGAAAACCCATTATGGTCCTTAAGTGGGAATAAGGGGCAGCACTGGAATCAGGCCCGTCTTAACATACACCCAACCACTTCATTTCAGGTAAGAAGCCATTGGCTGATGCATCTGATGGGTTTCCACAGAGGAGCATTTGCAATAGTCCATGCACCCACCTGAAACAAAGCATCCTATTGGCCCCTGATGGGGAAATCTAGCAAGCAGCCTACTTGCACTTGCTCTTCCTGTTTTGACATAGGTGTTTGCAGCTTTTTTCAGCTCTAAAAGCTGCTTTACTGGAAGATAATGGCTTTCCCTTTTGCAAATAGGTATGCATCACCTAGCTTAACAATACCTGTTTTAAGGACAAAATGCTAGCCATTTGCAGAAAAATCAACCTGCTTTCAGCTGGGGAGATGCTGTCAGTTTATGTAAAAGGTTGTTTGGTTGCTTTTTTTTCAATTGAAGGACTTGAATAGAGGTTTTTCTTTATGTGGAATTTATCTGGGGACCAAGGAGTAATATACACAGTCAAAGATCTCACAAAAATATGCTTTCTCCACACACAAAAAAAAGAAAATATATATCTCTGATTTTTTTCTGGCAATTAGGTGATAAAAAACCAGTATTCCCTGTATAAAATTCCTGACTTTGCAAAGCTGCATACTGTATTCATTAGGATGACACAACCTGCTGCAGTTTTTCACAAAGTTTGCAGTTGATTGGATCTTGAGACTTTTGGAAGCCTATAGTTTTACAGGCCTAACTCTGGGATCCTGATTCCTGCAGTGAGATGTTAGCAACCAATGAACTAAGGAGAATTGCTACTTTGTAGCTTTAAAGCTGGCAATATCCGAGGCAGGCAACATACAGGGTAGAATTGAACCATGTAGACTAATTCTGAGAGCTATAGATAGATAGATATCTTAGATTGGTGTGTGTGGGTGTGTATGGGTATGTATCCATGTATATAGATAGACAGCTAGAGATGGATCGATCGATCTACCTATCTATTGGTCTATGTTGGGCCTGGGAGATGAATATATAAAAATAGCATCCCATCATATCTATGGGGAATGAGCTTGGGCTCACAAAAGCTTATGTTATATAAATACTATGAGGTGTACTGAAGATGAATGATCTGGATCAGCTGTCATTTCCATACTTTCAAGGGATCCTGAAAATGACCCTATTATGTATATGTCTAAACTTTTATGAGCCCAAGCTCACTTGCCATAGGTGTGATGGGGTGCTATTTTTATATATTCATTTCCCAGACGTGGCATTTATAACAACAGGCTTCCATTAAAACATTGCCCTGCCAGGCACAATACCCTTGGCAAGCAGGGGCATTTTAAGGGTCCCCTGAAAGTATGGAAATGACAGCAGATCTGGACCATTCGTCTTCCTTCTCATGAGTGAAGGCAATGGGGGAAGGGAAGATGTATGGTGCGCATCGCTCCAAGTCTGACAGGGCAGCATGGAAGCAGAAGCGGAGGAATCAATTGGAGAAATATAGGTAAGATGTAGCAAGCCAGGAGCCTAGGGCAGAGCAAAGAATGAGAGAGGTCAGGGAAGGGAGAGGAGTGCTGTGATACACAGAGCACAAGGTGTATCATAGGGTGTAACCCAGAGTTCAGTGCTGGGGTGAAATCCAGCCCTAATGGGAGTCTTACCCTTGAGTCCAGTAGAAGCAGATTAATCCCCAGGAGTTTGAACTTGGTAAAAAAGAGAGTGAGAGTCAAGAAAGAGGTAGAAAGATTCATAGGATGAGCAGAAGGAGAGAAACTTGTGCCGGCATATGAATTTTAGAAACAAGTGTTGGGGGTAACAAGGAGGGATTCATTTTGGGACCAGTCATGAGTGTCTGCTGAGGCACAAAGCACAGCTTAAGCAGTAGGAAAGAAGGGAATGAGGGGCCAGTGATGACAGAGGAAGGACTGAAAATATTTGGTTGCAGTGTGAATATAGGAGAAATCAAAGGAGAGTCAGACATGAAAGAGTTTGACCTAGGCAGCGGGTGGAAAGGTGGGGTACAGGGTTCAGGAGGAAAGGCAAACTGGGTTTTCTCCAGTTCATTTGAGTTAATGACAGGCAGGTTGAGGCATCAATGGAGCAGGGCAGAGAAGGAAAGTCTGAAGCAGAGATAAGGCAGAGAAATGGCACTTGAAGCTCTGAGAGGAGCCCAAGTCACTCAGTGGTTGGGCAGAGAGGAGTGTGTCCATGGATAGAGAACTAAGTGGTAGATCGATGGACAGGTTGGAGACCCAGGAGAGTATGATGGGAATGCTTATGAGGAGGGTCATCAAACCTCCAGTACAAGGATCATGCCAGAGAACTGAAGGATGAGGCATGTGGCAGCAAACAAAAGAAAGACTGGAGTGGTCTCAAGGTTTACAAGGTTTTTTTATAACGGTAGTGAGAGCCTACCCCTGGAAGAGGGGATGCAGCCAAGCAGGAGGTAGGCCAAGTGCTTTGACGTGGGTGTAACCCTGAAGCCAGTATATACCAGGCCTGTGCAAAGCAGCTAGTATTCGCTTCGGATTTGGCCGATTTGGGGGACAGTGATTCAATTTGTTGATTCAAATCACTGTCCCAAATTGATTTGGCCTAATCAGCTGAATCTGTGAATCAAACATGCCCCATCCCCCATCCGCTTCCCAGACCCATCAATGGCTGCCCTGCCCGGCCCTAGTGTCCCGGCTCTTTAAAAAAAAAAAAAAAAAGAAAGAAAGGGGAAAAAAAATCCCTGCACTCACCAGATGCTGCCAGGTGGGGGAGCAATCCCCACTGCCCCCCACACTGCCCCGTGCTGTGTGGGCGGATCTGCCACGAGCCCCCAGAAGCCCCATTGGCTGCTGTAGCAGTCAGTGATTGTAGGACTTTTTTTTAAAAGAGCGAGGATGCTGGGGCTGGGTGGGGCAGCCATTGACAGGGCTGGGAGAGTGGGCAGGCGTCTCATCTCAGAGCTCCCCATGCAGCACAGGGTAGTTGGGTGCAATGGGGATAGCCCCCCTGCCTGGCAGCAGCCGGTGAGTGCAGGGCTTTTTTTTTTTTTAAAGAGCCGGGATCCTGGGGTCAGGCATGTAGCCATTGACAGGACTGGGAGAGCATGTCGGGGTTTGGGGGTGCTCAGGGAGGCTGGGAGAGCAGGCAGAGGATGGGGCCTGACAGGGGTTCCCCCATGGTTCCCTCCTCCTTCCCCTGCCCCCTACTTACCTGCACAGAACCCAGGTCCAGCTCCCTGCAGCGGTAAGCAGGGACTGCTCAAATCTCTCCTTAGCTCTCTGAATCAGTTCAGAGACTTCAAATCAATTCAGACCTTTTTACTGGTCTCCTGATTCAATTCAAATTTGGAGATTCAGTCACTGAATTGGGCCAAATCTCCTCCAAATCAAATCAGCACCCAAAGCTTCACACAGCCCTAGTATATACCTATTCCCCAAGGTCATGACAATCATTTCGAAGATGTTTATAGAACTGAACTCTGAGCTTTCTTTCTGAGTCCATTTTAGATTCAATATTTTTTAATTGGAATTTGAGAGTCTCATCTACTCCCATGACTCTGGGGGCTGGAGCATTCCAACTGCCAATGAGACTTGCCATGTTGTTTTCTCCTTTTCAAGTGATCTGCCTTTCTCCGTTTTCAGAAACTCAGCCCTCAGTGCAGTGTCTGAGCATCCATGATAAGAAAATCCAGGGACTGCATCTCCAGAAAGTCAAGTACTGGAGCCAGTCCTGGTATCAATACATGTCACGCTTGATATATTTCTTTTAAAAATGATTTAAAATATATGTTTCTGTGTATTTATCAATGCCACAGATGGGTAGACAAAATGAAGCTCCTCTTTTTACAGTGTTATGCCAAAATATGAACAAAGTGCCATCCACAGAAATATTGGCTCCCAACTTTAGCAAGTTCTGAGGCTGCTCAATCACTCCACAAGTTTGATGTTGTTGTTTCTAAAGGTTTGACCATAAAACAAATTCAAAGCCAGGAAGCTCTGAATAACTAAAACACAGGAGCACAGTAGGGACTTTAAATTACATTTAGCATCTCCTGCTCCAACAAAACTTTATTTCCCGTTTAAGAGTCTAAATGGTAAGGCATATAAACCTCCTAGTTAAATTTAAGGGGAGTGAACTGAAGTGAATCTTCGTCTGCAGTAAAACTGCACCCTCTGACTTGGAAATTAAAACTTTTTATAGGCTAATTCATATGTATAAGTGCTTCCTAGATTTGCTTTATACTTTTTCCAATCTACATATAATATAACAAAACCTTTCATTTGAAGAGAAGCAAGGATTGGGAAAGCTTTAGATGAGATTTAGGTAGTGCTACTTTCCCTTTTAAATCATCTCATTGTTTATAGCTTTGCTTAAATAATAATAAACTAAAAAATGACAAGGAAATGATACCCCACATGTTACCTCTGCAGCAGCAGGTCTCTGTTCGAATTTTGCAATGGACATTAAAACTAACCATAATTGCAGCTGTATCTTGCAGAGAGTTGTGAACACAAAGAGATGTCTCCACATGGCTCCTTCCTCTTAAAGCTGGAAGAAGTATCAGTGGGCAGTAGGATGGAGAACTTTCCAGCTCCTTAGCCAAATCCAAATTGGCGTCACTGGAGGCTGATTCAGTGTGTGAAGATACCAGTGCAGTCAGTGGAGCTATGCCGAATTTCTCCAGCTGATGTTCTGCCCATCAAGTTTGGTATCTAGTTTTGCTGAGTAGGTGTTGTTCAGGCTGCAAGGAGCAGCATCACCTCCCTTTCTGTACCTTTGAATGTGGGTTTTGGATTGGATTATTGTGGTTGATTTAGTCAATCCTTAGACTAAATTTTCCTTGTCATGGCCAGTGTTTTCAAACCCAGCTACCTACAACTAAGTATCTAACCTCTAGCTTGAGCATGTATATTAGGGGCTTGATTTTCAGAGGTGCTGAGCATCCCTGAATTCTAATGCTGTTACTAAGCGCGTCTACATGTGCAAATAAGCACAACTAAATTTAATGTGCATTAAGTAATGTTGGGCATTGTAACAGGGCGCCATTCCCAGGGTGGTCAAAACCCCTGGAGGTACCTCAGAGTCCCCATTATTCC